TCTCTCTCTCTCTCTCTCTCTCTCTCTCTCTCTCTCTCTCTCTCTCTCTCTCTCCTGTTCTCCTCCCCACTCTCTCTCCTCCTTGCCTATTCTTCCCCCTCTGAAAAAAAGGAAAAAAGAAAAAAGAAAATGCACTATCACCTCTTTTGGCAAAGGGAGAATTCTGTCCCTTAGGTTCATATACTTCAGTTATTACAGTGTGTTTATGCTTGTAAGGTTTTCAGCTTTTCCACTTGCATATAGTACATTCTGAAGACATCACCTTGTTTTAGGCCAGTATGAATAGGATTGTGTATCTTTCAGAAATTCACATCAAATTAGGACAGTTCTAGGACTGGAGTCCATTCAAAAGTATCTCTTCCCTTTCCACAGTAGAATTTGATTTCCATTTGTAGAGTGGGTTCTGTTGTCACCTGATTGGCCCAAGATCTTTTTCCATGGATATATTGTATGAACAGCTGTGTAATGATCAAAATGAATAAAAATAATGCCAGGTCAGGGGACATTTCTCAGCTCTTTTTTCCTGCACCCAAAATAAGGATAAAATGTACTGTAACTGAAAACCTATTAGACCCTTCTTCATTGATGCACTACCCCCAAAACAACGTTTTTTCCTATTCTCTTGTCTCCACCTCATTAAATTAAAAGTTTAGAATTATTGATGTTAGAAAGTACTGTTCTTCACATCCTAAATTTGTCCTCTTTCTACTTACTTGGAAATATGCAGCTAATTGACATTCACAGTAAACATCCATTGCCTCATAGGAGAAACAAAAATTACCCTGAATGTGAAGCTAGAGTCCTCTTTCATTTGAAGATTACTATGCAAATAAATTAATTTTTAAAAATATAGCAAGGGATATCTGTAGTGACTATGGGGTTACACAGCATGACAAATTTGGGACAATGTAGACAGAAAGCATAGCTAATAAAATTAAAAGTACTTGGGGGCCCAGATTAGCTAAATTGACTATCTAAAATTCTAAATGATCCCCAATTAAACTGAATCTGATACATCTTTCACTTTAAATATCTGACTTTGTAAGTCAGAAATCTTGTGATCATTTATTTCCAAACTATGTTATTTGCAAGAATTATAAAGAATACAAAACCTTAGAAATGGTAGTAGTTCCTTATACATTTTTACAAGTAATATGACAGTAAAGCCATACTTTGACATGTACATCATCGTCTTAGCTGTGGGTTCTCAAAGTTATTGCCTACAGTAGAGTGTAAGCTGTCAGGTTCTCCCAAGCTAGAGAGAAGTCTTATACTGGGAAGATGGTAGATTTTCTCCCAAGGTTTGGTCTAATTAAATTCAGAGAAGCCCATTCTCAAAAGTTGATGACTAATATTTTGGCTATGGCAAATAATGAAACCATATTTTAAGATGTAGAGGAGCTGAGAGGCAATGAAATATGCCTGAGCATATATGAAAAAGAATTTTCACATAGGTAGGGTAGTGATTATCAATGTCTGTATGGGGATTAATGGTTTAGAAAGCAATTCCAGGATAACTAGGAGAGGGAGGGAGAGAGGGAGAGAGCTAGAGAACTCCTTATTCACATAACTCTTTCATTGATTACAGTAGATAAGTTTTGAAACATCATCTAAATGATCACTCATTGCCTTGTGACACTAAAAATATTTTAAACTTAAACCATGAAGTTATATTTTATGTACAGTTGTGTTTGAAAATTTTCAAATAGTTGTCTGTACTTTGATCATGTTTTACAAAGATTTTAGAAGAACCATCTGATAATTTGGGTTTTCATTTAAGTTTGAGGGGTGCCTTTAAAAAGAAAAGAAACATTCCTTCTCTTACTGTAGCTAATAAAAATCCCCTTTTCTTTTGCTTAAACTTAGTTTAGAGTTTATCTTCAGAGATTCTTAGGGAAGATGTCTACACTATAGCAGTATGAGGAAGTAATAAAATCCCCAGGGAAAGCAATATGACTCCTTTGAGCAGACTTTTACTAGCCAATGAATGTTGATATTAATACCAAATATTTAATATAGTGCTTTGAAGTTTGAAAAATGCTTCACATATGCTTTTTTTTATTTGAGCTTTAAAACAGTCCTTTGAGATAAGTACTAAAAGTATTGTTATCCCCAGTTTCCAGAGGGCAGAACTGAGGCTCAGACAAGGGTGGTGATTTGCCAATAGTCACATAGCTAGTTGAGGTTGGATTGGAGCCCAGGTGTTCCCATTTCTAAGTCTGGCATTCAACCCACTGTGGGAAGCTTGTTCATTACAGCCATTAACAAAGATTGATGAAGAACATGTCTGGGGACCAAGCATGTGGCAGAAGTCTAGGCATTTGTAAATTAGTGATTTTTATCAGTATTTCATTCATGTTTAAAGATAGATTGTTGGTGCTATGCTTGGGCTGATGATAGAACAGAAAACTAGATTACAGCTTTTGGAAGTGTTTCCAATATGCTTTCATTGTAACATTTCTTATTTCATTGAGTCAAGAGTAAGTCAGAAAACGCCCAAGAGTCAAAAGAGCAAAATTGAATCTGATACTAAACATCTGCCCTCTCCACAGGGTACACAATACATTTTTTTGAAAACCAAACCTGCAATTTCTTTGGTATCAGGAGCTTTCTTTCTCAAAGAAATAGTCACCTTCTCGGCAACTCCTAGTCTGAGAAAAGTTGCCTGGGTCATTGAGAGGTTAAATGACTTAATGAGAGAGTCTGTATGGGGCAGAGACAGACTTGACCCCAGATCTCCTGACTCAGAGCCCAGCTTGCTACCCATCAGTCCACACTGCCTCTCAAAAACACACAAATAAATAATCAGATTTTGTTGTTTTCAGTTCTAGAGAAATGTGGTTTCTGTTGCTGAAACCTTCCCCTTTTGATCTATGCCTGCTCATTTGTTTCACAGTTTGCTTGTGACAGATTGGATTTAATTTAGCACACATCATTTTGGGTTTTTTTAATCCCAGCAGTTTATAAGTTTCTGCAAGACACTTTGCCTCTAAGGGATACAAGGTAGTGCAGATATTTTATGGAAAGGTGGATAAAGTGGTACAGAGAAAAAGTGTGATGTTATTTACCTCAGAATATTTGCATTTAATGTTCAGACCTCTTTGTTTCCCTGCTGCTGTCTACATGTAGAATATTTTTCATGCTCATTAGAATATCCATTATAGATGGGAGAAGTAGTGAGAACAAATTGGTAGATGACATTTTAGCATTTTTTTTTGATAGCCCTCATAAGTGACCGGTGAAGAAGGGGAAGAAACTCTTGGCTAAAATAAGGTTTGGGAGTGATAATGGACCACATGGGCCATCCTGTAATAAGGAAAATTACTAGATAAGTGTTATAAAAATATTCAGGATTTCACAATAGGGTTTATTAGTTTTTGGTTAACCAAATAAAACCCAGGTACTTTAAGCATTAAAAAAAATTCTATTTCATTACAATTGGAAATTCATGTGAAATGAATTGATATGCCATATCAATTCATATATTGTATATCATATTCTATTACTGAAACTACAAACCTCTAACAGTGGTATGCACTAATTTGTCAGCAAATATGGAAAAACAGCTATTTCTTCCAGAGTAAAGGAAATCCTAAAGCTGTCAAGTTGGCAATGTCAGCATTAATTTATATTAAACTTCAGTTTAAAATAGTGGTAAGATATATCTTCATAGAGCTGCGGCTGGGATTCAGAATTTCCTATAGTCAACTCATTCATCCATGTTAGTGAGGTCCATTTGGATAAATACCATCCACAGATAAATTTGAAACTTCATTTGATCCAATAATCTTATACATACACCCTTACAGATGCACCAGAATTTGGGAGGGAAAGCCCAGAGGGAGGAGGCAAAAAACAAAATTGTCTAATTTTTCCCTCTTGCTTTTTCCTAATTTTTCACCTTTGATGAAAGTGGCAAAAAAAAAAAAGTAAAGTCCCAAAAGAGGGATGAGGGTAGGAGAAAGAAGTGGGTAGCAGCAGGAAAGGGGAGAAACCAAAGTACTCGATATGCAACAACTTTAATCAGTGAGCATTTATTAAGCATTTGCTATGTGCCAGGTACTGTGCTATTTGCTCGGGATTCAAATACAAGAAAAGGAACAATTCCCACTCTCAGAATTTAATAATCAATGCATGAATAATTGGGAGTTAGCTATGTCACTCAGTCCAGTGCTGTACATTCATTAACCTATACTCTCAAAGTAAGAGATGAGAGGGATATGTGTTTAAAAATTCATTAGGTTCTTTTATAAACCTTTAATTACTCTTTATTGAAATAAGTGAGTCACTTCTCCCTGTCATACCCCCAAATCTAAAAATTCTGGCACTTTATTTTAGAGGAAAATGTCCATGTATCTTTTATGTTTATGTGTTTATGTATATATTTACATATATGTGTGTGTGTATACACATATATAAATGCATAGATGTATGTATAAACCATTTGTAAGGCTGAAGCTTTGATTCACCAATGCATTTTGAAAAATTGGTGTAATTAACTTATTTTATTTGAAATACTGAGATTATAATAAAATATCATTTTCACACATACTGTTTTGTCTTTGGTATTCTTTCTTCTGATCATATTGGTAAAGAATAACAATTTCAGAGTAGGAAGGAGCCTCAGAAATTATCCGATCTAACCCGTACCTGAAAATGAACCCCCCTTAAATGCCTCAGGGCATTTAAAGCCTGGCTTCAATTTACCTTTCCACCTTTATTATGCTTCACTCCCTTTTAAGCATTCTGCAGTCCAGCCAAATTAAGTCTCTTACTATTCTGCAGATACAACATTCCAACCCTATCTTTGCACAAGAATTCTCCTCGAAGCCTGGAAGGGACTCCTTCTTAAAATCCCTAGTTTCCTTCAAAGCTCAGCTCAGATGCCTCCTCCTACCATGAGATCTTACTTGACATTCCCAGCTGCAATTTCCTCTCCTACCAAAACAAATTACCTGTTACGTATTTTAGTATACTTGTATATGTACCTGTCACCTCTC